GGGTGGGCCCTTCGCCGTTCCCAGAAGTTACTTACTTCCGGGTTCGCTGACCAACCGGTTCCCAGGGACTGCCGTGAACTGGTTGAAACCCACCCCTGATCGATCCCCATGTGATAGAAAAAAAATTACTTGTTCAGCAAGCTGCAATAGAGGACATGAGAGTACAGATAGCACTAATGTAAATATCACACACAAAATAATGTTTCCCAGCCTGACACATTCTATATAACTTGAAGCTGTAATTTCTATAACTCCCGGACAGCAGTCCCAACATAACTGATGGATGCCAAGCTCTAAGAGACCGTTGAATTGGAAGGCAGACATTAACTCTACCATGAACTTAACGGTAGAAGGATTTGTGGCGTTATTTTTGTCAGGTGAAAAAAAATATCTGGGGGCTCAGATGAGAAACAAGAAAAGGGAAACTCAGAAGTGTCGTATGATGTGGAACTGTTGTGAAGATTAGGTAAATAGGAAGCAGTTCTCTTCAAAGTATCATTTATACTGTATCCCACTTTATTTACATATCTCTCGATTGCTGTACATAATAAATTTTTCACAGTGAGATTCTTCTGACTCCAGGTTGTAACATACCCTCCAAAAAACTACCTCTTCCTCCTCTCTTCTCCTTATCAGGAATCTATGCCTTTCTTTTTTTTATAAAGAAATGCAAGGTTTTTATTTCTGCTTATTAAGAGTAGTACAAAAGCAAAATTCAGCAGTGGCATCTTTGGGGCATTCTGACAATCGCTGGAAATGGAAATGAAAGATTCTTTCAAGAATTTAGCTATGTTTCTTCCCTGTATATACAATTATCAAGTAGAAAAGAACCCGAGGAGATCATTCACTATGTTAATATTGGTTAATAATATTGAGTATTATTGAACAATAATAATGTTGAAATAGGTCTGATTGCCCACGTTCAGCCATGACAACACCCTGGGTGATTCTGAGTCTGTCTGTGTATGAATCAGGGGTGGGTTCCTGCCAGTTCTAACCTCTTCTATAGAAGAGGTTCCACAAATCTACAGTGCCGTTTAGAACCGGTTCCAGATCTCTCCCCCCGCCCGTCCGCACATCATCAAGATGAAGAGCGAGTGGAGGAATTTTGGGAGTTGAAG